CTGAGGAATTCTGGGAGTTGAAGTCCACAAGTCTTAAAGTTGCCAAGGTTGGACACCCCTGGGCTATATGCAATAACGGTTATCTTGGGAAAGCTGAATGCAACAACATTTCATTTTAATGTATGCTGATTAGCGTACATTGAAAATGACAATCCAATTCCATTCCATGTTCTATTCTCTTCTGATTCATTCTTATTTTTATTCTTATTCCCTTCCTTATTCGATTTGATGCCCTTCCAATCCCTTGACTCTCCTTTGGGGGCAGCCCGCACCCACCTCGCTGGAGACACCGCCCGCCGCCCGCCGTCGGAGGAAGAAGCCAAGCGCCACAGCCGCGTTTTTGTCCCCCGATCCCCGCGGCCGAGCAGGCGGGCGACTTCGGCCTTCCGCGCCGCCGTTTACATCCCGCCAGCCGGGCAGTCAGCCGCGCTCGGAGCGGAGCGTCTCGCCACACCGGCCAGAGCCGCGTCCGCCCCGCCGCCGCCGCCTCCCTCCCTCCCTCCGGCGCCGGGGCTCGCTTACCTTCCGCAGCAGCCGCAGGAGCTGCATGGCCCGCTCGGGCTGGCGCTCGCGGAGGGTGGCCTGGATCTGCCGGATCCAGCCCACCCGCCGCACGTAGGGCGCCGCCGGCCGGTTCTTGCGCAGCCCCGCCGGCAGCTTCTCCGAGCCGAGCAGCAGCGAAGCCAGCCGGCAGTCCGGCCCGAGGCGGCGCGGCGGCGGCTGCGGCGGCTCCTCCGGGCGGCTCCTGCTGCGGAGGGACCTCTTGGAGCGGCCGCGAACGGCCGTCGCCTCCGCGCCACTCGGCCGGCTCAGCCGGGAGCCCATCGCTGCCCGCCCGCCCGTCCGCCCGTCCGTCGCGCCGGGAAGGCGCCGGGGCTCGGGCGGCGCAATGCAGCGAGCGGAGCCCGCCTGCCGCTCGCGGGACGCGGCTCTCTTTTCCCGGGCACGGGCTCGCGGCGCGCAGCCGGGGAGGAGCCGGTCCTCGGCCGCGTCTCTGGTCCCGGGGGGACGCGGCCCGCTCCTCCGGCGCGGGTGGGTGGGCGCCGCCAGGAAGGGCGCCGGAGGGCTCCGCGACCCCGGAAACGTCGTGGAGGATGCCCCGGTGTCGGTAGAACCCCCCTCGAGGCCGAAGGGGGCGTTCCTTGGTCCTCCGGGGGCCCCTCAGAGGCCAACAAGGCGGACCTGAGTCCGAGCCCCCTTCCCTCCCGCCGCACTGCTGGCTAGCAACGGGGGGGGGGTCGGTCTGGGACCCCCACCTGCTTTCAGGTGGGGGCGTTGGCGTTGGGGGCGCAGAGCCAGGCTGTAGTGCAGGAAGAGCTTCCCATGCGCCCCCCCTGCGCTTGGTCGCTGTAGTGGAAGGCTTGCGGGAGGGGGGGGGATCGGAAGAGTCCCCAGTGTGAAAAAGAAAAAGGAATCGATTTTGGTTTGATATCAGGCAAAATGTCCTGGTGGAGGCACTTTAATAACAGGCTGTGTAGTGCACCCTTGGAGATGCCGGATTCCTGCTTCTGGCAGGGTTGGACTAAATGATCTCGAAGGTCCCTCCCCTCTCTTTGACTTCTTTGGTCAGTTGGCTTGGCCTAAATGTCCAGGCTGCTGTAACTTGTCCTGGCAGAGGGGCCCCACCCTTTGGGACTCTGGCGTCCTTTCCCACTTTTCTTCAGCGCCAGGGAGGGGCTCTTGTCTCCCCCCCCGCTCCTGGGATAAAGATGTTCTCAGCCTGTAAGTTAAGGGGTGGCCGCTCAGAGCATCTGGAGCACATCGGTTGTGTGCTTAAGGGAGCCAAGCTTGAATGGTGTGTACAAATGTCACAAAATTTCCATTCAGCCTCTCTAGACCTTAAGACAATGCAGTGGAAGACCAGCACGAAATCCTCTCCACACTCTAGGAAAAACACCTTGGGAATTGGAGTTGGCCAAAGGAGAGAGCTCGCCTGTCTCCGTGCTGCAGCCCCAGTTCCACCTGGGCTGAGGGGCATCAGGTACGCTACGGCAGCCCCCAAGAACAGGAGGCAGGTGGAAGTTAGCAACCCAAAGAGCAGCTTGAAAAACGCCAGGGGCTCCAAGACCACATCTGGCCTGCAGGTTGCTCACCCCATAGCAGAAATCTGTGACCCACCTGAGGACCCCCCTCCCCACCCCCATGGAGGACAATCACCTAACTGGATGTCAGCAAAGAGCCAAGTCAGGGCTGAGATGCCACAGGGGCCTCCTTAGAGGTGGGGGCTTTGGGACCAGCATCATGGGAGGCTGTCTCAAGCCCCCTGTCCAGAGAGCGGTGGAATCAGCCAGGGGGCTTTGGAGCAGATCCTTCACCAAGGCCGGGGAAGCGGGAGGCAGAGGCAAACCGGGCTGGATTCTTGCAAGAGGGCTTGTTAAGTGAGCTCAGCAGCTCTTCATCTTTCGTGGCCACTGGCAAAATGTGGTTTCATGTTGCAACTGTCTTCTCTGAGTGCCAGCCGCTCAGGGCATAGCCAGGGAGCAGAGATGCCATGCAAGGGCCCATTTCATTCCATGGGCCTCCTCCTTCGGTTGAGAAATGTTGGGTTGGACTGGATTGGTTTTCTTTACGTCGGAAGGGACTTTGGCTGGTTCTAGGCTACCCTTGACCCTATAAAGCACTGCTGCTTCTTCCATCCTACCTGAGGGTTGTTCTACGGATACCCGAAGGTCCCAGTGCAGGTCGGTTCAAAGCCCAGCAGAAGGAGAGCGAGGGCCGCTTCCTGGCCTGGAACCTGGGGCCGGTCTCCCTGCTGGCTGGGCTGCTTCAGCCCGGGAAGAAGGACATCCCCAGACGAGGAGGAGGAGGATGGCCTCGCTCAAGTGGAGATGCGAAGCCAGAGATTCCGCTTAGAACAGGAGTCTCCAACCTTGGCAACTGGAAGTCCGCCAGGCTTAAAGTTGCCATGGTTGGAGACCCCTGGTTTAGGAGATGGCATCCAGGGCTGTTGGGCAGCTTAGTCAGGCGTGCTCTCCCCCGGTGAGCAGGCTGGCGTTTTAATGGCCTCAAGAAGTTGTTGAGATGTCCTTCTGAGCCAATCTGTGAACTGGTGGCGAACTCCAGCCATTGCCCTGGCGTGAAGGTGGTGGGCTGGAGCAGAGCCTGGTCCCATTGGAGGTTTCACCTGCAAGCCCTGGGCCGAGTGCCCGGGTGGCACCCTGGAGCGATCAAAGGAAGAAGCCATTGGGCCAGGATGGACCTTTACTGCATAAAAGGAAGGCCGTGCCCTCGTAGCAAATGGAGAGAGAAATTAGTCACCTATCAACTCCTATCAAGCTTTCCATTAACTGGCTGGTGACTTTTGCCCTTCTCCCCTTCACTTTCGGCCCTATGGACGATGCCAGCTGTGCCCACCGCTCAGATATCCAACAGGGACTGTTCTGGCCAGGCAGATCTTCATCCAGCCACTCTCAATGCCAGATGTCAGCTTCCTCCCAGCTCATCCACCCCGTTGGCAGGACGTATTTCAGTAGGGATCTCGTCTTACTGGTTATTATGGGAAACCTCAGCTTAGTGGTACAAGGTGTTCCTCAGGGTTATGGTAATAGCAGCCAAAACAAACCCAGTGTTTTGCTTCCATTGGCCAGAGTCCAACTGGTATTTTGTCTCCAGATTGGGTTTCACCTGGTTGCTGGAGCATCACAACACTCCACATCGCCCATCCTCCCTCCCACTCGGAGCAAACTTCCTCATAGCAAAGCTCTTGTTTTGGAAACTGGGCGGCTAGAAGTTCCCTGACAGATGGTGAGCTGCCATCTTCTCATTTCTGTCAACGCCTAATTGCTGGTTTCCTCTCTCACCGCCTCCCTCCTCCATCCCAGCCAGCCTAAGCCCAGAGCTGCTCCCTCCCTCCCTCCTTTGGGTGGCAGAACATTGGAAGACCTCCCATGGCAGCCCTTGGAAGGGTGAGTGGCGGGATGGAGCCTGGCTTCAGACTTTATTCCGAGCCAGGTATAAAACCCGCTCTGCCTGGACCGTCAACCAGGCAGACGTGCATGGGAAGCCATTCGCCCGAGGTCTCTGATGGGCTCCCCCTCCCCGTCTTTGAGGCGGTGAAGCCCGGCACCAGCCGCTCTTTGGCGCTTCCTTGGAGGGAGCTTTTGTCTGGCGCGTGGAGCAGTTCTGGGAGGTGCAGAATCTGACCGGAAGAAACCCCCTCGGACTGCCCCATTGCTGACCCCCTTTCCAGTCGCCACCGTTGCTGACCTCCCTCCACGAAGCTCTCCCCCCTTTGAGGCTGGCTAAGTCCGTGTCGGAGGAGGGGAGAAGAGGCTACCTGTTCTCCCGGGGCCACAGTGGTTGTGTGCAGACGTGCCTCTTCCTCCTCTGGCAGCCACCTGGGTGCCCTTCCTCTGGCCCACAGCCCAGGCTAGGAGCAGCCCCGGGTCACCCATCATCGCTGTCCTGGTTTGGGCTGGGCAGACAATCTGCACACCAGCAACCGCTTGGCCTCTGCTCTGGCCAGTGACCCTGCTAGGGGTCAGGGTCAGTCCTGATTCTGTTGGCCAACACAAGTTGGTTTGCGTGCACACACACACACACACACACACACACACACACACACACAGAGCTTCACTGTGGTCCAAGTACCTCACACCTATAACCATAAGGGGCCTTAATGGGCCTGGGGTCGGGGTAGGGAGAGCATCCTTCGCGTGACGGGAGAGAATCTCTCCTGGATTCCAGTCCAGCGAGTTGGGAAACGGGGTCTCCTGCCAGCCCGCAGTGCGTGGCTTGGGGCCTTCCCTTTTCTCTGGGCCCCCAAGCCTCCTTTTGCAGGGGAAAAATCCTAGGGCTGGAGGCCCCCAGGGATCAGCCCCTCCGGCCAAGGAGAGCCGTCCTTCTCTGCTGGGGGGCTTTGCTGCCCATCTGCAGCCAGGCCGGGGGCGGTGGGGGAGCGGCCCCTTCCTCAGCGGGAAGCAGGAAATGGCGGGCTGCTTCTGGCGCTTTCAGTCCATCCCAAAACGTGGCGCTGCCCTCCTGGCCTTTCCCGGTGAGGTGCAGCCCAGAGGCAGGGCATGAAGTCCAAGATCTTTGAGCCCGTCTCCTGCCCAGGCCGTTCCCCCCCCCCCCCCCCCCTTGCCCCCCCCCTTCGTAAAGTTCACCTGTGACTGCCGCGGCTGCTGCTGCCGCCACCTCCACCACTGCTGTCACCACCTGGCTCTTCCCCAGCAAACCAAAGGCCACCGGGAGAGGCACCGGAGAGGCTCCAGGGAGCGTCTTGGCCCTCTGAGCCCAGGGAGAGAGGTAGGAATGCGGAGGGGAGGGGGCTGCCTTGCTGGGCAAAGGGTCCAGGTTGCTGGGGGCAGTTTTGCCACCCTCTGGACAGAGAACAACCTTGTGCCGTAAGCTAGGCAAAGCGAGGTGGTCTCTCTCTCACCCTCCCTCTTTCCCTCCCCTCTCTCTCCGTCTCTCTTTCACTCTCTCCCTCTCTTTCTCTCCCTCTTTCTATCCCTCCCTCTTTTTCTCCCCCTCTCTTTCTCTGTCTGTCTCTCACTCTCTCCCTCTTTTTCTCC